TGGGCATGAACAACTTTATATGCTTGTTATGTAAGAAAATGTCCTTTTTTTTTTTAGATACATATGCTGAAATCATTAAGTGACATCATGGTGCCTGGGATTTTTCCTACAAAAATAAGAATAGATGAAGCAAGTAGGACAGAATGGTAACCATTGTTAAGTCTAAGTCATGGGTGTTTGAGTGTTTATTGTACTATCCATATGAGTCAGGATATAACCAGGAGACAAGACCACTGCAGTGTTTAAAGCAGAAGGATATTGAGCTGCTCATTGGTTACACGGTAGATGGAGGCTGAGGAGTCACGCAGAGCCTGGAGATTAGTGTCAGACACCACCAGCCCTGGGCTGGAAGGGTGAGGCAAGAAGGTGCCGTCACTGGAGCTCAGGGGCTGGGGTCATCTAGCAAAGTAGAAACTACAGCAGGCCTTTTTGGACAGGCACTGGAGCCACGGTGGAGCCACATCTGCGGTGGGGACACTACCCAAGGTAGAAAGGGAGGGAAAACACCGGCTTCTCTCTTCTCCTCACCCCTACTCTCCCGCCAGTGCTCGCCCTTAACCAAACCCCATCTACAACCAAAAGGAAGTCATCAGGGTCAGCCCCCTGCAAAAGCAGAGCAGAGCAGGGGAGGGGCAAGTGGAGTGGATCTGAAAGGAGATGGTCTACAGTCTGCACACCATTCTCTCTCTGTTTGAACATTTAAAAAAAAAAATTACCCTACAGCATAGTTTGGATATTAACATCCCATCTCATCGAGGCTTGCCCTGGAGACCCCTTGCTGCCTACCAGAGAGCTCTGGACAGCAGGGCTTATGGGGCAAAGGAGACATTAGTTCATTTACAGCAGCTGCTGGTATCTCAGATAACACCTTTCTGGCAAATAAATCTAGAACATTTCTGTGTCAGCATAGCCTGTCAAAGAGGGCCCAGAAAGAATCAAATGCTGTCACTGCAGAATCATCAGCTTTGAGAAACCGTGGAGATTTGGCCTAATTTCCTACAGGTTCTGCTGCTGACCTAACCCAAATCCATTTCCCTGTCTTCTTACTAACAGAACCTGGATTTTGTTTGGGCTGGCAATGTGCCCAGCTAAAAAAGTTTGCTTCCCCAGTACTCCTGGAGTTACTGGTGACCATGTGATCAGGTTCTGACCAATGAAATGGAGGTGAATGTCCTTGGGGAAGGTGAGCCTTCCAGAATAAAAAAGCAAGTTTCTTTGCTTGGGCTGGCAATGTGCCCAGCTAAAAAAGTTTGCTTCCCCAGTACTCCTGGAGTTACTGGTGACCATGTGATCAGGTTCTGACCAATGAGATGGAGGTGAATGTCCTTGGGGAAGGTGAGCCTTCCAGAATAAAAAAGCAAGTTTCTTTGCTTTCCCCACTTCTTCTTGTGTGAATTGCAGATGCAATGCCTGGTGATGCAGCAGCCTTTTGAGCACGAGGACTAAAGCTAGATGCTGGGGCAGGAAGGAGCCTGGGACAATGATGACATCTTGAGCAGTTTCATCAGCCCTGGACTGCCTACCCCTGGGCCTCTTGTTAGGTGATTAAAATAAATCCCTTTCTTATCGACCCCAGTTGAATTTTGTGTTATTTGCAGTTGAATACATACCTTGACTCAAAGCAAAAAATATGTTTCTACTCAATAAAAGAAAAAAAGTGGAAGTAAATAAGTTGGCTACCAAGGAAAAGACTAGCAGCAGCATCTTTCTGGCACAGTGCTAGGCACTCAGCAGAAGAAATATGTGCTGAAGATTGAGTGGATGGTTGTGGACAATGAGTGGCTACCAGAGTAGTGAATCTGAAGAGTGTGAAGTCTTTTAGTGGTGAGGCAATCCCTCCCATCCCCCGAGGGAAACCAGCAACAAATATTGCCAGGATAACTGATGTTATCATGATTATTTGGGGTTAAGGAATTATTTCCTGAATGTCATGGTAAAAAAGCAAATAGCTTACATGGAAGGAAAATACATAGATTTGTTCATCACCAACTAGATAAGAGGACTCTGAAGGGATGGACACACCCTAAGGTGACCCACGATGAGTCACACTCTGTAAAGCTCCCACCCTCTCTCCTTGAGTATGGGAAGACACTGAGACTTGCTTCTAACCAAGAGGATGTGGCAAAGGTGAGGGACTGTTGCTCTCTTGATTAGGTTATGTTATATGGCAAAGGTGACTTTATACACACACACACACACACACACACACACACACGGCTCTGAGCAGACTGGAGTCAGAGGGAGGTTCTTCCATGCCAGCTTTGAAGAAGTAAGCTGCCATGTTGTAAGAGGGCCATGGGGCATGGAGCCCCGGACAGTCTCTAGAAGCTGAGAGAGGCTCTTGCTGACAGCCAGCCAGAAAACAGAGACAATCATAAGGTGATGAATTCGGCCAACAACCTGAATGAGTCTGTGAGACTTGGGAGACCTCAAAGGTAGACAATAGCATGTGCCCAGGCTCTGAGACCAGCCCCAGTCCAGCCTCCAGATAAAAATGCAGCCCAGCCGACACCTTGACTGTAGGCTTGTGAGTTCCTGAGCAGAGGACCCAGCTAGGGTTCCTGTACCCAGGAACTGTGAGATAATAATGTGTGCTGTTTTAAGCCATTATGCTTGTGGAAATTTCAAACAAAGCAATAAAAACCTAATACAGTGGATAGACAGTAAAGATGCTTTAGTGAAAGAGAGAAGGCTGCGAAGAGTCTGCCTGGGACCCAACCTGGGAGGATAGATCTGTTCATTCATTGATTTGTCAACCACTTGTTAAAGGCCACTAGTATGTGCCAGGCACTAAGTCACGATATGAGGCTTTCGTCTCACACCCCTCCTTTTGGTTTTAGCCAGAACGGTAAGTTTCCCACTCAGATGTGGTTGAAGGGATAGGAAAGGGAATTTACATTTATTGAGTTCCCACGATGACCTGGACACAGGGCCAGACACTTTATATACACAGACTCTATCAATCATCACAGTGACCCATTAGGCATGCATTAATATAACCATTTTAGAGACTAAAAAAACTGAGGTTACACAGTGATAGAGCTGGGATTCTAAGAAATTGTCAGCCCCTCCCATTATAAGCTGGGTAAGAATTTGGCTTAGGAAAAAACCAGGTCATCTGAGCTCATGTGGCCTACTTTATCAAGCCACTGTCCTCCTCCTCCTCCCCCTCTCTCCTCCCTCTAATTTTCCCCTGCTCCCCCTCCCCTCCAGGGTGGGGTCTGACGTTTACAAAGTGCCCACTCCCTAGTGAGTTATTAAATTTGAGGAGGCCCCTCCTCTCCCTCCACTTCTTCCTCCTCATCCCTTTCCTTTTCTTATCAGACACACATTCTTAAAAGAGTTAAAATATTATGCATTTAAAAAAATAGTCTGGTAGCAAGTTACAGAAATTTTTAAGTGGAATAAATGTCTGTACCTTTACCACTTTCCTTTGTTAGCATATTCTTCCTCTTCCTGGAGACATTATTAGACTGTACCTTCAAACGCTTTCTAAATTTGAATCTGTCAACACTCCTTTCGGCCGCATTCACTGCATTGCCGTGAGGGTTCACTGAAATAGTGCAGATCAAGGATCAGGCCCTTTTTTCCTATACAAAGTTCTGTATTCTCTTTTCATTTACCTTGTGCATTGGTCAGAGTCCTGGCAGGAAACAGCATTCACACTGATGGTTCATGTGAAGAGCCATTTAGTGAAGGATGAGTTATAGTGATGCGGACAAGTCTAAGGGAACCAACAAAGGATGCTGAGGCACCCAGGAGTTGGCAGTCGTAGGAAGCCATTACCACCCTTAGGACCAAAGGGGTAAAGGCAAACAATAGTGGTAACAGAGTCCAGAGGGGCGCTGCTCAGTAGGAACTGTAGACAGGAAGAGCGTGGGGGAGTCATGTCCCAGCCCCTCTCTCTTCCCACCCTTCCATCTCCTGCTGGTGTCTCTCATTGGCTGGGGTACATGAAAGAGCATGAAAAGTCCAGGTGAGGGCGGAGCCCGTGGCGCACTCGGGAGAGTGCGGCGCTGGGAGCGCAGCGGCGCATAGGGATGACCGGTGCGCTCACAGCGCTCACTGGCTGAGCGCAGTGCGGCCGGTCTCAAAAAAAAAAAAGGACCAAGAGTCCAGGTGAGAAACACCAGAGGCCCAGCCCCACTTCCAAGACATCCCAAGAGGTCCCTGGAAACTATGATGGGCCCTCAACCCCTATATTTCTCTGCTCAGTTACAAGTCAGGAGAAGGCTTGGGTAGCACCCGAAGGAACTGTTCTAGAGGAAAATGCAGGGCTGGGGCCAGGGCTGAGGGAGGGAAGGTGAACGCCAAGGGGTGGGTCCAACACTTTCAGGGCGCACACTCCCTAGGAAGCTGTGAAATGCTGTCTTAGCTCTCTGGGATTTCACGTGCCCTTCACCCTAGGTCTCCTGCTGATCCCACCACACCCTGGGCCACGGCGAGCTTGCTCCCCCTGCTGGCCAGACAGGGCATCTGTGGGAAACAGTGCCTAGTCGTCTCCTGCAGATCACACAGATTTGCCCCCTGAGAAGTTCCCACAGGTCTTTGAGCAGCCAAGGGATGTTTAGATCCACCTCCCTGGAATAGAGACTGTCTTGGTTAGCACAGGAGCTCTGACACTGGTGGAAATTTAAATTGGCATACATATGAAGGACCTTAAAATTTTTTATTTGATCTCATCTCCTCCAAGAAGCCTTCTGTGATCACATACCCCCAAACACCCACTGTAATCTGTATGCCCCTTTCCCTACTCCGGTAGCAGTTTTGCTTCTCTCTGCCCCAGGTGATCAAGAAAAATTAACTTTATTTTGTTCTAATTTTTACCTTTCTACTTTGAACTCCAATTCCACCAATAAATTGTGATAACTTGATTTCAATCATTTCAGGGTTCTTCCCTGCCCTTTCCCTGGAGTCATATCCTGTAGGGGCTGGAGGAAAAAGGAACTTTTAGGTAGTGTCAAGACATAAGAGACGTGCAGTCCCCTTTGTCCTCTGTCCTCACAGGCACCTGCTCAGAGGTTCCGGGCAGCAGCAAGGGAGGCCCCACAAGAGGCCTCATGTTCCTGATGCAGACTCCTTCAGTTGTTACATTTGGATTCATGGGAATCCCTCTGTGGCCTTGTCACTTCACAGGGGTACTGGGTTTTCTGAAAGAACAACTAAGGAGAGCTGTATTCAACCCTCACCTGCCAATCTGGGGTCGCCAGGCAATGAGGGCTAGGCTCCCTCTGTCCTCACATCCCATCAGCCCACCTGGGATCTTGCCACATCCCAGGGCACAGTTAGGAAACAGGGAAGAGCCTACCTTTCACCTCTTCCCTCCAACTCCTCCCGTTCACCCAGCCCAAGGAGTCTTAGCCTGGGCAAGACACCTCCTCACTCTTATTCTCCTGTTATTTCTTCCCAGATCTTTTTTTTTTTTTTTTTTTTTTTTTGTCTTTTTCCGTGTCCAGCAACGGATCGCAACCCTCAGTGTTGCCCCCGTACCGGACCGAGGACCGGCAACGGGATCGCAACCCTCGGTGTTGCTCCCGCGCCTCGCTCAGCCAGTGAGCGGGAACCGGTCTGTATGTGGGATCCGAACCCTCGGGCGGGAGCGCCGCCGCACTTCCCAAGCGGCGCACTATCCAGTGCACCACCGGGCCGGCCCCGCTCCCAGATCTTTTGTCCAAGCCCAAGGAACTTTCTGTTTCCCTAGAGGTCCAGGAGGGCTTTTGGAAAACAAAATCCAGGATGCAACTGCTTTTACCTGCTTTCTGCTCTCATACCTCTTCCCTGAGGCAATGAGCACAACAGTTTAAATGCAGAGAAAAAGAAAGAAAGAAAGAAAGAGAAAGGGGGATGAGGGATGGGGGAGAAATCGCCTATATCATGCCACCACCCATTTCTGCATTGGTTGGTGCCTGCACCTCTGTCCTCACCCCTCCTGCCCCTGGGAGTCAGTCAGAGATCCAGGAGGAGGATGGCAGCCACAGAGGGGTCAGGTCCTCCTTGTAACCCCAGCCCCCAGCACAGGCCAGGCTTGAGGGAATTGTGTAAGTATGCAATCAGTAAAGATATTAAAACAGCTAGAAAAAGCCAGGAGGTAATCTGTTCATAAAAGAGAGAGAGAGACAGTCAGAGGCAGAGAAAAAAAAAAAAAAAAAAAAAAAAAAAAAAAAAAAAAAAAAAAAAAAAAAAAAAAAAACTTAAAAAAT